TCTGATGCTCCTTGCCTTCCCCCATACATATTTCAAAAAAATAATAAATGTGTATTAAGTATGAAAAAAAAATGTTAATTGTCTATATCTATTATGTAATAATCGATGTATGTATCTTTTGTTAAGTAAGTGTCAATTGAGGGCAATTGTATCATCAGGATGCCCGAATATTAAAATTTTCCCCTTAACATCCGGCAGGTGGCGCAGGGCCGCAACTGTTGTGTCTGTTTTGTTTTGCAAATGTAAGAAAGCGTAAAGGTGCGCTCAAATGAGCCTGTGCAATTATTATATCTGTAAATATTGTTGTAAATAAATAATTAATATAATCAAACTCTTACTTCTTCTCCCCTCCCCAAACGAGTTACTCGACACATAAACAAATGATGGGATTACAACACATTGAACGGTAATAAACTATTATTGACATTTATTGACTTTTACCTGATAACGAAATCTTGCATGTTTGAAATAAGACATTAAACACCAATTTAAAGAAATTAAGATTAACAATTAAGAATAACTACAAATTGACTCACACTTACAGAATGTCTGAAGAAGAATTGAATAAATTAAAACGGAAACGCGGCTTTGTAAGAGCTTCGGTGACAAAGATAATTACTAAAATCGAAACTGACATTCTAAAACCGGACATAAGTGTGGAAGATCTCGGAGAATCACTCGAACTTTTTGGCGAAAAAAGCGAGGAATTAAAAACTATTGATTCTCAGATTGAGGGCTTAATCAAAATCGAGGATATGGAAGAGAAATTTAACTGTATAGAAGAGTACAAAGAAAAAATAACTAAAACAAAATTTAGAACATTAAGATTTATTAAGAATTTAAACAAAGAACTTGATTTAAATAATTGCTTTCAAGAAGCTAATATTTCACTAAATAGTCCCAATCAGAGTGACATTCAAACCATTGAAAAGGAACGCATAAAGTTACCTAAATTAACTATTCCTAAGTACTACGGAGAAATTTCTGAATAGTTAAATTTTTGGAATTGTTTCAATTCTTCAATTAATGAGAAAAAGAACCTCAATAAACTTGATAAATTCATTTATTTGAGATCCTTTTTAGGAGGTCCTGCGTTTAATGTAATTGATGGTTTAGAATTAACCGCGGAACATTATGATCACGCTATTGATTTATTAAAGCAACAATTTGGCGATACAAATATTTTGATTAATGTACACATTGAAAACCTACTCCATGCATGCCCATTAAAAAACTCTAATGACGTAAAAAACTTCAGGAACATTTTTAATCACATACAAAAGAATATCAGAAGCTTAGAAAGTTTATCTGTTAAAAAAGATAGCTATTCGATCATTCTAGTTCCCATTTTAACCAAATTGTTGCCCCGTGATCTACTACTTGAATTCAACAAAAGAACGAAAAATCCTCTTGTTTCTGAAATTGATGAGCTAATCGATTTTTTATCATCTCAATTAAAAGCCAGAGAAATGACTTTCTTAAATATGAATACTTCTGTTTCGGAAATCAAAACACATAGAATGAATCATTCTCACGTTAGCGAGAAAGAGTGTAGGCGTCAGCCATCGGCATCTGCATTAATTAATGAGTGTTTTGAAGATCGGAAGAATGAGAAAGAGACTTGTTTATTTTGTAAATCTCATAAACATTACTCGGCTTCTTGCACGAATAATAATTTAAGTTTGGCAGAAAAATTAGACATTTGTAAGCGGTCTGGCTCTTGTTTCCGATGCTTAAATGATAAAATAAAAAAAAGACACCTTTCCTCTTCTTGTAAGGCTAACGTTAAATGTGAAATATGTTCAGGCAGACACGTTAGTATAATGTGTATGGGGAAAAGAAAAATAAATTCGATCGAAACAGGGGGGAAGGGGAATAATTCTGATCTTTCCCAAATGAAACCTGATACGGACTGTGCTTAAAGTAACTCTTCAAGTAGAGAAAAAATAATGTTGCAAACTCTCATTGTAAGTGTTTCGGGAGGTAAACAAAAACATTTGATTAGGGTGATTAATGATACTGGATTTTCTTGTAGTTATATATCGGAATTTGCAGCACGTAAGTTAAAATTAAAGAGTCTTGGGCAGGAAACAGTTGTGCATGGATTGTTCGGGGGGTTAAAGAAAAGAGAATCACATAAAAATTACACGATTAATTTGAGTAATATGGACAATAGTTTTACTTATACATGAAATGTAATGGAACAAAAGACAATTTGTACCCCGATTCCAAAATTGGAGAATAGGGAAATTATGAAGGAATTAAAAGGGCACGGAATTTATCCTTGTGACGTAACCGTGAATGAAACTTTATGTTTATTTGACAGGAATGCTAATGAAATTCACGGATTAATAGGTGCGGATTATGCTGGAGATTTATTTACTGGAGAAATTAAAAATATAACGAATGGCCTTGTCGCGATGAATACGCATTTCAGTTGGAAAAACTGTCCTGTTACGTAAAGTCCTGTTACGAATGAAGTGCTTTTATCACTTCATGTTACTGACTTAAATAATTGTGACTTATGGTCACTTGATTCTCTGGAAATTACGGAACCGAATAATTCTCAAACGAGATCAGAAATTGAGGAAGCCGCGAAAGATCATTTTGTTCGGTCGTTAAGAAGGGATGGAGAAGGTAGGTATGAAGTGTCACTCCCATGGTAGGAGGTTCATCCTGAATTACCGGACAATCGAAACCTTGCCGAAAAGCGGTTAAAAACTTGCGTAAAGGTGTTACAAAAAAGAAACTGTTTAATTGAATATGAAAACGTCTTCAGAGATTGGGAAGCCGAAAAAATTATTGAACCCGTTGATTCAGAGGAACTGACAAAAGATAAGGGTCATTATTTACCGCATAGACCAGTATTTAAAGAGAACTCCACAACCAAAATCCGACTTGTTTTTGATGCGTCTGCTAAGGAATTAAATTCTGTGTCGCTGAACGATTGCGTTGAGAGAGGGCCGAATAATTTAGAACTGATCACCAAACTCATTAACAGATTTCGTCAGGGAAAATTTGGGGTAATATCGGACATTCGTCGAGCTTTCCAACAAATAAACGTTGCTTCCTCAGATAAGAAATTTCTGCGGTTCTTATGGTGGGAGGGAGGTTATCCAGGGAAACTTATTGTTTATTCACATTGCCGTGTAGTTTTCGGCGTAAATGCCAGCCCATTTTTACTCGCCGCGACTATAAATTATCATTTAGAGAACGTAGATGAAACCAAGAGAGGCATAGCTTTAAAACTTAAAGATTCCATTGATGTAGACAATTGTGTTGCAAGTGTGAACACTATTGACGAGTTAAATTCTTTCATTACGGTGTCTAAAGAATTAATGGCTTCAGCACAATTTGACCTAAGGGATTGGAAACATAATCGGCCAGATAGTGATGAGGAAACCTCAATTTTGAACTTGTCTGGAGATAACTATAAAGAAATCATTTCAGTATTGGGCCTTAAATGGAATTTATACAGGGATACTTTATCTTGTGAGATAAATGAGGAAAATCAACCCATTCCGAGTAAACGAAATGTATTATCTATTTTAAGCCGAATTTTTGACCGTATTGGGTTTACAAGTCCTGTCACACTAGTTCCTAAATTAATCTTGCAGGAATGTTGGAATGAGAAAACTAATTGGGATACAGGACTTCCGGATAATCTGAGGAATAAATTTCTAAAGTGGGCTAATGAATTAAAATATCTGAAAGAAATAGAAATCCCTAGAAAAACACCTGATCTAGATGAAAATTCTACTCTGCATGTCTTCGTAGACGCGAGCAAATCGGCTTACGCGGCTTCAATTTTTATTAGAAATGTTAAAGGGGGAATAGTTAGCTCTCAACTCTTACAGGCTAAATCCAAGGTAGCACCTCTAAAATCGATAACAATTCCTAGATTAGAAATTCTTGCGTGTACCATTGGAGCCAGGCTCGCTTACAATTGAATTACAATACTGATTTGAATATGAAGAATGTACAAACCTTTTTCTACACTGACTCAATGAATGCTTTATACTGGATTAAAAAGCAAGATAACTGGGCCACTTTTGTTGCTAACAGAGTCAATGAAATTCGAAAACTTACGGATCCGGAGGCTTGGCGACATATTCAAGGAAAGTATAATCCCGCAGATTTGCCCTCGCGGGGATGTAATTCTAAAGATTTATTGAAATCCCATTGGTGGGAGGGCCCCCAATGGTTAAAACTGCCATTCGAGAATTGGCCAGGTAGTGGACTTTCTCCGGATATTGAAGTTGTTCTTTCAGAAAGAAAACGAACTATATCCTCAGCCACAAATTTAACAACTAATACGTTTGAAATCTTCCGAAATGTGTCTTCCTTCAATAAAATTCTGAGAATCATGGCTTACGTCATCCGATTTTATAAAAATACTCTAAGAAGTCATAGAGATAGAAAGAAGAGGAAACTGGAGGTAGAAGAGATCGAAGCATCAGAGAAGTTCGTTTTGAAAGAAATTCAAAGAGAATCTTTTAATGGAAAGATAAATTTTCGAACTGTGAAAGACAGCGATGGTCTCTTACGAGTTGAGACTAAAATAGCATCGAGAAAAGACTTAGAAACTTTTAGATTCCCTATATTATTGCCTAGCAAGCTTGATTTGGTGGAAAAATTAATAATGGACAAACATATTGAACTGAAACATGCCGGTGTTCAAACTTTGATGTCTCACCTCAGAGAGTCGTTTTGGATTATTAAAACCAGAAAGACAATTCGAAGCGTCGTAAGAAATTGCGTCAAGTGCAAAAGATTTTCGGTTCAACCATTGGAAGCCGTAAGCTAGGGGTGCACAACCTTTTTGAGTGAAGGGCCACATGCGCAGCAGATTGACTAATGAAGGGCCGGATGCCAAAGGGAACACCCAAAGTATTTAGACAAACATATTCATAGCAATTTTAGGTAGTAATTGTTATAAAAACATTGTTCTAACCACTAAATTCTTTTTCTAAGTTAACCTTGTAATATCTTAGCATAAAATTAAATACTTTTAAATGTTTAAAGTTAAAAACTTCTAAACTAAGAAAAAACTGAGCCTTCTAAGAAAAAACAGAATCAGTTAATCAGAAGAAAATTTAGATAAATTGAAATAATTAAAAAACTATGGGAAAATACATGTTTTTTAAAAGTCATATTACATAATACATAAGTCCATTTTAACATAAATTTTAACTTTAAAAAATTTGTTCATAGAAATAAATTTTAAAAAAATGTTCTAGTTATTAAAATAAATACAAGTTAAATACTTTGATTTAAAGAAAGTTTATAGGGTTAAAAATGATAAAAATTGAAACAAAACCCCATCTGCGGAAAATAAGATTTAGCATTTAGAAGGGGAATATACTTAAACTTTAAAACATTTATTTTAAATTAATGATAGGAAGCAGGGGCAGAGAGAGGGAAGAAAGAAAGAAAGCATTAATCTTGAATAAACTATTTTCCTTAATAATAAAAAACTATTAAGATACTTGTTTAAAATTTTTTATGGCGAATATTTTTTTAACATGACACTTTCTATTTACAATTAATACACATATGCATAAACAATTAGTAACATTTACATTACTTAACGAAACTTATTTTGATTATATTTTTTACTGTTAAAATTTAATGATATACAAATCATTTCCCAGCGTACAATCATGAATGATATGAAATGGTGGAAGTATAGCATAAGAAAATGGTTAAAAAATTTTCTTAATGGTTATCCTGTAATTTGCAAAATTTTTAAATATTGGGATAATTTTATTCACTTGATCATGTGATTCACTTGATCATGCTTTTTCGAGCCATTAAATGAATTTGTTAAAAGACTGCTCTGTAATTTTGAACAGGCCAAATTTATTCTGGAAAACAGTCTTATGACAGAAGCTGTTGTTGTGGGTAGTATTAAATTAGGGCAAAAAACTTAATCACTTTTGGAATTTGTCCTAGATGGTGTTCTTCATTTCCATATTTTTAAATCACGTGAATACAAATAGCGATGTGTTATTTTATAATTGCCTAAATACTAATTGTTATGTGTGCTTTTTAAATTGCGCAAATATAAAACGCAATGTGTGATTTTCAAATTGCGTGAATACGAATTGAGATGTACAATTTTAAATTGCGAAAAGACTACTCACAGCGCATGATTTTTAAAATGTGTGAATATGAATCGCGATATATGGTTTTTAAATCGCGTGAATATGAATCGCGATGGATGATTTTTAAATCTCGTTATTTTTAATACGAAATGCGCTGCGCAATTTTAAGATCGCGTAAATACGAATTACGATGTGTGAATTTTAAATTACGCGAAGAATTAAAACGTATGATTTTTAAAACGTATAAATACGAATCTCGACATGTGATTTTTAAATCATGTAACAACAAAAAGAATAGGTTGAGTGTGTGATGTTAACTTGCACTTGTTCATGGGACTAAAGAAATATACACGTGTTTTGAATTATTTTTTAGCAAAGGGGAACGCGTTTAATATAAATGTACACAACTTGTTTTTATTTTTCATTTTTATTCTTTTTAGGAAGGTATCGATTTTGCTAAAATACGTAATTACTTTTTAAGTTCCAAAAAAAAATTAAAACAGTATCGAATTTTAAGAGTTGTAATATTGTGCTAAAATATCAGGATATTCTAAATTACAAGTAAAAAGACGTTCGAAAAACCTCTTATATTTATGTAAAAATCGACACAAATACAGCACATAAAAAGTAATTATTTTAATGCGCGATTCAAAACTCGCGTGCTGTCAAATTATATGAAAAATATAAATTTTTTTTAAATCACGGGTAAAAAGCGTAGTAATTACTACAAAGGAAATTATCAAAATACCTTTATATTTGCGGTGAAATTGGTGTAAATAAAACGCGTCAAAATTTTATGTATTTAAATGCGAAATTAAAGTATCAAAATAGCGTATAAAAAATATCGGACTTTCAAAACCTTGTAGAGATGTGTAACAATAATTGCCAAAATAACGATTGAAAAATAATTTGATTTGCAATAAAATTGGCACAAATAAACCACGTCAAAAAATGGTTATCTAAATGAGCGATTATTTAATCGCGATTCGTAATAATATCGTGCCAAAATATCAAAATTTTAAAAACCATGCGGAAATGCGTAGCAACAACTGCCGAAAAAGATTAGATTTTTCATGAAGTTTGCACAAATAAAGCGTTTCATAACTTTTTAAAAATCGCGATTTCAGAAAATACGTGAAAATGGGCAGCAATAACTACCGGAAAGTCATTGAATTTACGATAAAATCGGAGCACTCGAAGAGAGTCAAAAGTAATAACTAAAATTAGAAATTCGTATATCGTAATAATGATGTGTTCAAAATAATGGTATTTTCAAAACTATGCTTAAATCTGTAGAGGTAACCATCGAAAAATAGCGATCGAAAACTACATTGAGTGATATTGGGTGCGTCAAAAACTTAAATGCGTAAATTTCAAATTTTCGAATTTTTTTTTATTTAAAAAAAAATTTAATTTTTTTTTCATTTTGTTCAGATAGCGGTAGCGGGCCGCACATTGAGGGTTGGCGGGCCGCAGGTTGTGCACCCCTACCGTAAGCATTCCACTACCAGAAGATCGAGTCAGAGACGCAGCTATTTTTGAAATTATAGGTGTCGACCTGTGCGGACCTCTGCTTTTAAAAGGAGATAGAAAATGCTGGGTGGTACTCTTCACTTGTGCCATGTACCGAGCGGTACACCTCGAAGTAGTATCGTCCCTGTCAACAGATTGTTTCATCTTGGCCCTTCACCGATTTATTGCTCGTAGAGGGCTTCCGTCCACAGTATACTCTGACAATGGGACAAATCTTGTGGGAACGGCAAATCTTTTGAAGAACATTAATTGGAACGAAGTTGAAGACTTTTCTTCAAGGAAACGAATTTCATGGAAATTTAATCCTTCCTCTGCCCCTTGGGGAGGCTTCTTCGAAAGATTAATAGGAGTTTTGAAAGGCATCCTAAGAAAGGTTCTAGGACGAGCTTGTTTGAACGAAGAAGAGTTAGCTACAGTATTATGCGACGCGGAAAGTTTAATTAACTCCCGTCCTATAACGTATCTTTCAGAAGATCCCAAAGATCTGTCAGCGCTCACGCCATCCATGTTTCTTCAGGAAATTAAAGAAATTGGTGTTCCTGAACTTGACCTAATTGATTCAAAAAAATTGAACAAAAGATATTCTTACCGGTTAAGATTGCGACAAGACCTGCGAAACCGATTCAGAATTGAATATTTAGGATTGCTTAGATAATTCCAAAATTAAAAGGGAGTCGTCTATCAAAGAAGGAGAGCTTGTGCTAATAGGAGATTCCAACAATAAAAGAATCCACTGGCCATTAGCCAAAGTTGAAAAGACTTATACAGGAAAGGATGGTAGAATCCGTTTAGTTGAACTTAAAACCCAATCTGGAAAACATTTGAGACCTATACAAAGACTTTTTCCGCTGGAAGTGAAATCGAATGACTTTTCAACTGTGAACAATTCTGGTAGACATGATGAGAGTCCTTGTCACAACAAGGATTTAATCCCGGCCAATAAAGAAGTTCGATACTCTCGTTAAGGACGATCATTGAAGCCAACTAATAGATTTTAACTGTGCTTAATTCATTAACAATGTAAGCCTTTTGCTAATAATTTTATTTGTTTAGTTTTTTTTTTTCAGATGGACCATATAGACTAAGATTTCTGTTTGGATTCGAGAAGGTTTGTCTTCGAATCCAAAGGTGGGAGAATGTTGCGAATTCTCGCAATAGCTCTCCTGCGCATGTTGTCTTGGTGTGACTGCAGCGCCATTCTTCAGTAGAGTTGATGTTAATATCTCGATCTGAGAACAAGCATGTTTAGCTCCGTACGATAATTAGATGATTAATTGTTTATCTTTTTTTGTTTGTTATACTTCGTTATTAAAGTGATTGTCCTAAAGCATGTTGGATTACTTTGTACAGTAAACAAATTGATATTTATTACCCTCCAAAATGTGGCAGTTCTGGAGAACGGGGTAAGTAGAACTTACCTTGATTTATAGAAATAGATTTCTTCAGTTTTTGCTTAAAAATTGAGAAACATTATATTTAGAGGAAAAGGAGGCTACTGCGGACATGGGGGACAGGAGTAGACAACAGGAATACTTTCCCTCTAGTCATATTTCCTCAGTGGGATGTCGTAAATTGGTAACATTTACGTACAGTGAACCAAAAAAGTACCACCCTGAATAACTTTTGATTTAATGATCGGATCTTCGCGTTCTAGGACTCCATCTTAATAATTTGAGGGTGTGACATCAAATATGCAAATTAATTAGTGCACGATATTTTATTTTAAGTTACGCAATCAGACGCAAAAACATACTTTCTCTAAATAAACATAACTTTTGTTCAACAGATTCGATTTTCTAACCCCCGTAATATAGGAGGTAGCTGTAATCTGGATAATATGGTCCCAATAGTTGGATCGGGTGAGCTATCCAAAGTTTGGACCCCCAAATGTTAATTTTATTTTTTTGTATTTCACTACAGATCGAGAGCTTTTTAAGAGAATTGAAAAAATTTTGCACACGATTAGAAAATTCTGATATCTAAAAATAATTCCATGCAAGAAATAACTTTTAGTAAATATTTATTATTTTTTATTTAATAATAGTCTGATGTTGATCATTTACGTCGCACTAGTGCTGCACAATAGGCTATTGACGACTGTCTGGGAAACATCCCTTGAGGTTTGATCCTTTGTAGAGGGGATGCTCCCCCCGCTTCGGTAGCCCGGTGACCTGCACCCGAAGTCGAGCACTTTATCGTAGAACAGTTTAACGAAGACCAATACCGCACACCCTCGGTCCCTACGCAGACTGACCCAAGTGGTCACCCATCCGCACACTGACCGCAGCCAGTGATGCTTGACTTCGGTGATCTGCTAGGAACCGTGTCTTAACGATCAGTCCCCTTTGGGACAATAATATTCTGAAAACTTTTGAATCGTAAGGCATATATTTTTTTTTTGTATCATTTTAAAGTATCTAATTCCACATGGAAAATACAAATTTGAGCGAAATTGGTTGAATAGTGCATTAGTTCCTGAGAAATCGAGTTTTATAAGTACGACTTTTTTCAAATTTAATTTCTCAGGATTAATCGATTTCGCTGAAATTTTGCATTTTGTCATGTTTAAACCTTACAATGTTTTGTAATCCAATTTATATGCGAACAAATAACTTGTTTTCATAAATATATTCACTAACATAATACATAAATAGCTAAAATGACAGTTAGAGATGAAGTACTGAAAGTTTTTGAAAGGGCCCCCGCCAAAAATGTTTACCCCAGGGCCCCGAGGAGTGAAGTTACGGCACTGGCTTGAACACCTGTAACTCATGTTGAAATAATATATGGGGCATTGCTCGAAATTTATAAGTGAATATAAAAAAAAAATTATAGGCCTTGATGTGTAAATATGGTGATACACATCAAGGCCTATAATTTTCGTACCCTTGATGTGTAAACTCGGTTGCAAAATTTAATAAATAAATAAAAATACAAAATGTCAATATTAATAAAATATTCCTTTACTTTACTTCATTTATTCATTGATTTAAGTGCGTTTAGAATAAAAGCTTATGAAATTTTTTTTAAAAAAAAAACTTGTTCATGTTTTGAGTATAGATATAATATCCCGTATTTCACCTTAATATCAAACGATAGTTTTGAAACTTGGTCAGATGTATTATATAATTATATATGCTATCAAAACCATGCCAAAAAAATAAAGACTAATTAAAGCCTGCACAATATATTGCCTCCCTATGCAACATATGAAAAACTGCATAAATGAATTAAAAAGCTTGAATAGCATTCGACAGCCAGACAGTCGCAATCCTTAGCCACGGTCATAAAAGTGCCCATTTTTTATTCAAGAAAATTATGTATAACTAAGTGCATATACAATATATGTACTCATTTTTAATTTCTGAGTAAATTTTCAGTTTGCATGTTTGTTAAGTGCTGATATGTACTTTAATATATAATATCCCGTATTAAAATAAACAATCTCTAAACATATGACAAATAGTCTGGTACTGCCATCTGGTGTATAGATTGAGAAATAAACATGATTCATCAAGTAAGAAATAAATTGCTTTAATATTTTTGAAAACACCTGCCCGGAAATATCACGGGTAAGAGAAATAGAGGGCGAAACTTCACCCCGTCATTTTATTCATACTTCCTGGTTTTTATTTTCATAGATTACAATATCTTCTTCAAGTTTATTTAATCTTGCATCTGAACTAAATTTTTCTAATTGTAATTTTTTTCTTTCACATTTTTCTTTTTCCAACCTGAGAATAAATAGAGAGCTCTAATTATTTGAATTAAAACGCTGAAGAAAAATTGTTGAATGGTGTATTTTTCTATGATGCTAAAAACCAGAATTCTTTCATTCTAAAAAGAAAAATCTAGGAAATATTGGAATAAATATTTATGATATAGAATAGAGGAGGTTCATGGTAAAAAGATAGTTACATTTCACGAGATTTGTGCAATAAATTACCAATATGAATGTTTTATACAAAATAAATAAACCCCTTCATATCTTATTTTTCACAAAAACAAAAAGAATTTGGAATTCAGATATTTTGCTAACTTTTTTTTATTGGCTCCATATTAGACTAAGTCAGAACTTACACAAAGTGTTTATCTGGTGCGAAGCAGATGATTAATGAATCGCCAGCTTTAAAAATAGATTTAGAATCCTTTAAAAAAAATATGAGAGACGCAAGATTGAGGTTATAAAGTTAATTTGATTATGGGAGAAGTTTAATGGAAATTTTTTTTAGTTGGTGAGTGACACCAACTAAAAAAAATTTCCAATGTCCTTAAAAAAAATCCAACTAGTTTTAATGTTAATACCAGACGCTACAATAGTGATTCATCATACTTCGACATTTTATTTTTCCACTACTATTAACTTATACATTATACACCTTGAGTGTGCATATTTTTTTCCTTCAATTTCCACAAAATTTTTAAAATCCACTGTAAGAAAAAAAAAAAAAAAAAAAAAAAAAAAAAAAAAAAAAAAAAAAACACAATTGAACTAATAATCAGATAGTTGTATCCAAAAACACAATCTTAATAGTTGAAGCATCTCATCTTGACCGTTGGATGCAGAATCATATTTTTTATACTTATTTCCTTATTTTGAGTTAAGGTCAAAATAAGTGTGTTTAGGTCAAAATAAATAGGAAAAAATATATATGCTCATTCAATAATATATGGTTAATATTATGGTCAGTTTAATAATCTATGGTTATGGAATACAGCATGAAACACCGGTGTCTTTTTCTGCGTTGTAGGTAAAATCTTTCAAAAACAGCTCATTTTCAAACAATAATTTTTCAAATTTGAAGTTATTTAGATTTAGAGAAACAATTATTCATCATAAAAATTATAGATAAAGTGAAAAACAAAATCAATTATTGATAAATTTTTGAATATGAATGACGAAAAAAGAAATTCTAACAACTTTTTTCGGATTTTATAATTTTGTACCAATATAATTCCGACAGATTTCTTTAATAAATATTAGACTATTTTTTTATAATTAAAAACTTCCGAAATATCTTTTTGCTTGTAATTAGATCGTCAGAAAAATATATATGTATATAAAAGGAACACCAGTGTCCATCTACGTCAAAGGGATAAAAATGCTTATAAATTAGTGCGGATAATATTGTAAAAAATAAAATTAGACACAAAACCGCACCTTCTTAACGTACACTCCCCCCCCCCCCNCCCCCCCCCCCCCCAGAGGGATTTGTATCTCTCATAGTACGGAGAAATGATGCAGCCTCAATCAGAAAAATGTGAATCCAATAGTTTTGTCAGGACAGCGGTAGAAAGTTGGTTGGTTATGTTTATATATATTATATTTAAAATTTATAGGTATAAAATTTTATTAGGTATTTTTTTTTATTTTTATAATTAATTAAAGTATTTCACCATCTCAAAAAAAACTGTATTGTTAATTTTTTATAACCCAAAAACTATTTAACTGATTTCCTTCAAATTTAAGATTCTGTCATTTAAAAAAATGTAGATTAACTTAATGTAAAAATTTGTATACTTTTCAACTCATATAGATTTCTACCGTTGAATGAAACAATAAAGAATTAAAAATAATTCGTAATAGTTCGTAATATTTTACCTGGAATTATCTGTATCTTAAGTTATCTATAGCTTAAGCAGAATCATCTATAGCTTAAAATATTATCTGTACAAATTGGTGTGCATATTTAAAACTATAAGCATTTCGATCATTAAGATTGAGTCGTAGTACGTAAAAATCCGCTTAATAGTTCTTAAGTAGCAAAAGTGTTTGTTCATTGTTTATTGGCATTTTAAAATGCTAAACTTTGTTGTCGTTTTTCTAAAATTAATTGAATCGATTTTCAAAAAACTTTTTTTGTTTTAATTCTCTATTCTTCTTGTATGCTTTTACAAGAGAGTTTTGAAAATTTGGAGGAATTTCACTTCTAAAATCAATTTTATAGCTTAAAATGTCCTTTCTATAATATAACTTGCAAATTTAAGATTAAGCCACCAGCTATTAAGATTGAGTCTAATACGTGAAAACTTGATTATTAATTTAAAAGTCATTAAAGTGTCCGTTTTTCATTTCACTTTCATCGTTTGTTGCCATTTTTAAATACTAAACTTGGTTGACGTTTATCTAAGAACTATTTAATTGACTAGTAAAATATTGGAAAAAGGAAATCGGAATCTATTTTGTATTTACAATTACACATTTGAGAACGGAATCTAACTTTTGAGGCCTACATATAAATTATGTTAATGTTGTTGTCTAAACATAACTCGCCGGCAACTGACCTTCTGCTAGTTAAGTCATAAAAGTACGCCTTTTGTTTGAGCACCGCAGGAGTGAAATAATATTGTAAGTACTACTATTACTGTAAATTTAAACTGATGGGAAAAAAATTTTAAATGTGCATATCAGATAGAGGAGCAAACTAATTTTGATATGGAACAAAATTACCAATTTTGAACATAAGATAAAACACCAGTTTTTCTCTTAAGCCAATTATTTCTATTTCATGCAAATCTAATTTTTAAAAAAAAACTCACTTGGGTAGAATTTCATTCAAATCATTCTCTTTCATGTCTAACTGCTGTTGCAAATCAATGATTTGATGGTTTTTCTCATTGAGTTGGTCCTCTGCATCATTTAGTGTTGCTACAGTACATGTTTTTACTCGATCAATATCAATCGCCATCTAAAAAACAGAAAGCATTCTACAAACAATGAATATTACAATGCGTAACACAAAAAACGAAAGAACAGCTTTTGATTTAGTTAACCGATTTTCAAATGCTAAGATGCTATTTTGATGTTTCGAAAATAGAAGTTACTTGTTAAAGATGATATTTCAAATTACGAAATCAGACTAAAAAACGTGCATTGTTTAATAAAATTTTAAAACACTATTTTTTTGAAAAATTCAGATTTTTGTTTTGAAAAATATTGGTTTTCCAGATTTAAAGAGGTATTGGCAATCAAGAAATGAACTGTGTGAGGAGCGGTCAAAAATCTATGGAGTATCTTTAAGTTAATTATACTTTTAACGTTATCTTTGGAACTTATTTAAACTAATAAAAAGATTTTTGCCCACAATTTAAAATTTTATTCTCTGAATATATATATATGTATATATATATATTTGAAAATTAGTTCTTAAAAAAAAGGTTCCATAATTAATTATTAAAATCTAGTTTTAATTATCATCGAAGCAAGTTTTAAATTACCAAGCAGGGATATTTTTGAATCAATTTAAACGATACCATTTTCAATGATAAATCCAAAATTTTAATGGAGTCAATTTTTTGGGAAACTATGAATTAAAAATTGCAACCACTTCGAACATATGAACTTAAGGAACATCATCAAATTAAAAATTCCCTGAAAAAAAAAGGCATTTTAGTTCAGATAAAAAAAAATTTTGTGTCTAATATTAATACTTAAAAAGCTTCCTGTAGAAATTATTTAGTATTTACTAGGTTTTCCCTTTACTTATAATAATAATACTGGTTTTAGTGTGTCAAAATATTTAATCTTAAAAATTGAAACAATAATCCAAACACATATTAAAACAAAAAAGAAAGATATGTGTATCTGTCCGTGGTCCTCTAAATTATGTGTGTACACTTTTCTGACATGAAAGATTAGATACACAATATTAAGTCTTTGATGTACATTTGTTTCCTGGGTTACTTTGTGTTATAAATACATTTAACGTTCTCTATTTCAGAGTATTCACCTCTTAACCGGATTTAATACATGGATTTTACGTTGCCTTTTAATATGTGTTTGACTCGGTATGTCTTTTTTGACTTTAAGCTATTAAACTTAATATTCAAAACTAAAAGAAAACAAAAAAATAATTCTAAATAGATAAAACTTCTTTGAAAAAAAATGCGCTTAAAAGCAGCAGAAATTTCAAAAAAAGAATAAATGTAGCAATAAAGGAAACAAAGGAAATAAAAATAAAAATATGACCACCGAAGCCGACGTCTTCAGGGGATACTGGCCCCGGTAGACATAAAACAAAACCTTTTCTTTTGAGGGAGAGGCAAATGCCTAAAGTTACTCCCTCAGTACCCCGAAGGTTTTGTATAGAAGTCCAGGAAGAAACATGAAATACATAGAACCAATTTAGAAACGAAACTCAAACACAATCATCAGAAAATAAAAACCCACTTTAATCAGGTCAAACAGCAATTTCATAAGAAAGCTGAATGAAAAGGAAGTTTCCTTTATTGGGAAAGGAAGTTTTGAGGAAGTTTAAAGGAAGTTTTGTTTTATGGCTACCGGGGCCGGTACCCCCTGAAGACGTCGGCTTCGGTGGTCATATTTTTATTTTTATTTCCTTCGTTTCCTTTATTGCAACTTTATATTCAATTCGCATTCAATTCAAAGTTAAGAATAAAAAAATTAAAAACACTATCAAAATTTGTCAAATTATTAGTGAGGAAGGCGGGATGAAACAAATCAAAACTATTGTTTGATGAAAATTGCAAGTATTTCTAATAATTGTGTTGCAACTTCTTTCTGTCCCACTCATCAGGGATCAGAAATCTACAAATATATTAAAAATACTGATATAAAATATTTCATCAAAATGCTATTCTATATTTATAATTAAAAAAAAATTCTTAATACCTTCTGATATAAGTTTTCCAGATCATACTTTTCTTCTTGACGCTTTCTTAAACATGGAATTAATCTTAAATTTCTTGTCTGTATAATATTCATTATTTCATCTAATCTAAAAAAGAAGAAAAGAGCTAAAATTATGCTCTTCAGTTAAGTAAGTCAAATGATTTCTATTAAAAATATTCTTTTTATTATATTTTATATTCCTTTTCCTGAATTATATATTTTATATCCGCATTGCTTTGCATAAATTTACTGTTCTTACATTTTTTTTATTCTATTGAAATATATGACCAAATCTTAAAAACAGCAACAAAATTAAATTAGATAGATATAATTAGAAAAATACATGTTTTGCACTTTTTTTAAATAAAATAAAATTTAAAAAGATAACTATAAACATACAATACAATGATAATATCAATGGTTATCTAACATTTAAGAAATTTTTATTCTTTCACTTTGAAGAGAAACTCTTTTCGTTCTTTAATATTTTTTAATTCAAACTCTTACTTTCTGAAGTTCTCAAACCTCAACAATGAAAATGTATAAATTTTTTATTAAAACAAAACAATATTGAAAAATCACTAAAAATATCATTTGGGATTTAAGAAAAAGCAAATCAAATGAAAATTTAGGTTCATTTTTGGACGATAAAGAAATGTGAAAATAATACCTTCTATAGAAAAATTTTTCTTTTCTAATACTACTACTTTTTTATAATTTAGCATAAAATTGATTTTATAGTCATTACTTATTCATAGGCATCATTTTTAAATTTTTTGACATGTACTGTCCTATACTGTAAAAAAGTTTAGTTTATCTCAAGGCCAAGAATGGCGGCCGTACATAACTCTTGAATCTAGAGTTTCACTACAAAAAACAGTTCTTTTACAGTACTTAGTTTAAAGTAGCCGAAATTATTTTGTGAACAAATTGTAAATTTATTTTTACAATGCAATATAAATTAAAAATCTTCAAATTAGGATGCATCTATACATCATTTCTTCAGAAAAATTATTTTGTAAATCACTCGTACGCGTAGCACAGAGAGAATATTAAGAAGAATTCGATATTAGAATTCTTAACGGAACAGAAGCGAATAGAAATTAATCATGATAAAACCACTCTACACATAGAAATTTAATTACTTATTACACAACTACAAACATACTTTTATATTTTAACTGCTAATCTTCGTTTCTGTTAATGAGTATCAGCGTATGAAACAACAAACTCTGCCCAACTCATCTTGGATTTCCAATAGGTGATACTAAATGTATCAGAATTGGTGTTTTCGGAAGTGAAATTTTTCGCATGGTGTGGAAGCCCGAGAGTTGGGGGCAAGTGGTTAAGTGTTTAGATTTAAATTACACCTTTTAAATCGTATGTGAACGTTATATTAGTGAAAACCTGGCATTAAATGCTCCTGGCAGAAAAGGACACAAAATTTACTAAAGGTTTCCTTCGTTAATTTTTTTAAAAATGAGAAATTTCATCTAAGAATGCGAACACACGTTCATTAATATTTTTACTTTGCCTAAAATACATTTAGAATTACATGACGATTTTTAATCATTATAAACAAAGCGCATTTAGCGATTTTGGTGCTTCCTTCTATCCACCTTTCTTAAAATTTTTAATTTCCGCTCTCAGTGCAAATGCTCAGTTAGTTCCAACAAAAAGTCCTCTACGAAGGCAAAATTTCTCCCAATACTTGATCCAGGAGTTCCCTTATCTTCCGAATTGGGTTCAAAATTACAAGGCTAAGGAATTGAACATTATTTGTGGTAACCCAAAAAACTACGACGGTTATAAAAGGGGGGGGGAAATGTCAAGGAAACCTAGCATTCAAGAGAATGTAAATTTTAACTCTGAACAGACAAATGAATGTGTTCACATAAAGAGTGAACACAATTTTCAAACATAAAAAATATGATTGATGAATATATTGAACCCTTTGAAAAGAAATTTTGAAAGGTGATGATTTATACACATAACTCTGATTTATAAATGACGATGCAATATGCACTTCAAATTCCCAATAATGGTAAGTAATCCCTTTCACAATTCATTTAACCATAGATTACGGCCAGAACCTCCTGGATTGAGAATAGATGGTCCTGTCTATGAATGTCTTCTTTCATCGAGAGTTCAAGATGTATCATGATTATTGATCGGTAACAATAAAAGAAATAGACGTTTGAATAGTTATCTGGGAATACTTGTTATTGATTGGCTTGTTGTTACCGAAAAAATGTATTTTTTAAGGCATAAAAATGTCTAATACCTGATTTTTATAGTGATTTTCAGGGAATTAAAAATAAAAATGAAACAAATTTTGGTCATTATATTGGAGTAAAGTTCGGGCATTCCAAAGGGCGTTAAAATAACATTACATTTATGGTACAACAAACAGGACTTCAAGTAGCGGTCGTTATGAGGAAAGGGTTGCACTTAAGAGCATAGATTGTATTAATTAATGCATACTTCTCATTCAGAACTAAAGCCTTTATAAAAAAATCTGATTCCTTGTCACTTTTCATTTTTATATCTTCTAAAAAAGCATCTTCTTTTCCTGAATATAACAGCTCTTCTCTTTGTGTTTCCAATTCCTGAAAGGAAAAAAATAGCGCATAAAATAATGGCAGGAAATAAACTTTTTTTGAGTTAAAAGTGTATAATATAGTATGTGTATACTATGTATGTTGGCGCCTCTATCGGCTTTGGCTTCGTTTATCTTTTCATTTGGCGAAAAGAAGAGCTCTTGTTGTTTTTGTTTTTGATATCGTCGGACGTCTTAAAATGGCGTCATCCATCGTTTCGTAAATAAATTGTTAAATAGTTATCGTTTGTACTTAATCAATCGTAAATACAGTCCGCATATCGACCCCCTCAACAATGTATAATATACATATGTTTGCACAGTATATACACTACCCTACAATATGAAAGGATACTTTCAGTTATTGCATTTTTTTTAAAAATAATTCTAAAATACTTGCAAGATTATTTATAATTTAATATAGTATTTAGATCACTTAATTTCTCATACTTATTAATAAAATTTAAAGTTTTCAGAGGTGTGAGCAACCAGCAATAAATTTGTAACAAAAGACAAAGCGATTTTGAATACTTTTAGTCAATGGAGTCTCTTGGAGTTAATTATATTTTTAGCGTTATTTTCCTTCATCTTTGGAACTTACTTAAACTGATAAAAAGATTTTTGCCCACTATCTAAAATATTATTATCTGAAGATACGCAATAATCTACATCAAATAACTTTGCAAATAAGGAAGTTTAGAATTTTATAATCATAAAATAATCTGCTAAAAATTTGGAAAAAAATAGGATCATTTGGAAGAGATTTATTGCTTAAAACTATATGAAATTAAAATGCCAGTCTTTAGTTATAATTTTTAATATATAGCCAGACTACTTTATGACATATGGGTCATTTATACAACTGATATTTACAATTATCTAAGTAATTAAATTTTTAAAGGTACGAGTTTTTTTTTTAAATTTTAAAAGTTTTGGAATATTTGTTCCGATTATGACATTTTTCTTTAAAAAAATTGTTACCTTATTCACCATATCACCAACGGCGATTCTCTCTTATCATCGGCAGATGGCAGCACATCATTTATAACTTCTGAATAATATGAATGAGTTGATTTATGCTCATCTGAGCTGAGAAATTTATTTTATACAATTTCATTTGAAATTTAAAAAAAAAAGAAAAAATTCTTCTCAATGGTTTAAGTTATCGATAATATGTTATGAAGGGGGAAAAAAAGATTAAAAATATGCGATTAAGGATGATACAGATGTTAGCATATTCCCCTTGATCTTACTGTAAAATAAAAGTATTAAATAATTCTGTGAAATAAAAGTATTTTTAATTGAATTTCAGTAACATTTCTATGGTTGCTTGCGGCTTTATGATGTCCATAATAATAAAATATCTAAATTCATAATAATAAAGCTCGGATCCTTTTGCTCATCAGTACAAGTCAGTTAGGAAAACGAAACTAAACATATTTTTTATTTGACCAGTAAAAGAGGGATTCAAATTTAATTACTCAATGCAATATTTCTCTTCTTCTTTTAATACAAATTTTAAAAAAAAAAATAGCAACGAAAATTGAAAACCAACACTGTTAATACGGCTATAAATTTACCACTGGGTTGCAAGTTATTATCCAATAGGGAAATGCCTGTAACTGTCGGTCAAGTAACCCGCAGTTAAGAAACCGACGGACAAAAAATAGTGGTGGAATCGCTTTGTAACTCTCGGTCAAAGTTTCCAAACCGAGGGTTTCGGAACTAGGAGTTACATGATATTCCGAATACTTCTCTACAATGTCTATATGTAATTATCTTTTGAGGATCTCCGTCTTTCAACCACATGAATCGTAAACAATCCCTATCAGATTCGTTAAGAGATATTTGTAAAAATGCCTGTTTGACATCCGATATTACCAGGGCCGGATTTAAGCTTGGTGGGGCCCTAAGCTATTGAAAATGATGGGACCCTTATAAGTTCAATTCCATTTCTATACACCTAAAGTAAACTGTCATTATTTTTTATTGTTGAGTATTAACATTACATTATTAAAAAATTTAATAATATTACTTTATTGTTAAATACAGGGTGCTTATAAAGTCCCTGACCCATTTTGATGTTTAATAACTCATAAAATAATAAAGATAGATTAAAATTAATAACATAAATGGTTAGACTCAAAAAGTTTCATGACCCTTGTCAATGAACTTCCACGTGTGCCCCCTTCGTCGCACGGAGAATATCAAGTCGATAGTCAATTTCACGCCAGGTAGCGGCGAACATGTCGGCATCCACAGAGGCTATTGCTGTTGTAATACTGGCTTTTAGGTCATCAATGTTCGACACGATCCTCCTGTAAACATTGCCCTTTATAAATCCCCGAAGAAAAAAGTCCAGCGGCGTTATATCAGCTGATCTGGGTGGCCAAGGAATTGGACCTCCTCGCCCAATCCATCTTCCTGGAAAATGGTCATTCAAAGAACTAAGAACGATGATACCCCAATGAGGTGGTGCACCATCTTGTTGCAAAAAGACATGTGGCTGAAGCTCTTCTAGTTGTGGAAATACGAAGTTTTCCACATTGTCTAAGTATACGACTGATGAGACTATCTTTTCTGTAAAAAAGAAAGGCCCAATGACTCGGTCGTGCATTAGTCCACACCACACATTAACCTTTGGGGAATCCCTTTGTGTCTCACGGTATTCATGGTGGCTTTCAGATCCCCATATGCGCACATTATGGCGATTAACAATGCCAGAAACATGAAAGGATGCTTCGTCGGAGAACATTATGCGCTTCAAAAAATCAGCATCATCTTCTACCCTTCCTACCATATCTGTTGCAAACACCATTCACTTCGGCCTATCGTCCGGTTCCAAACCTTGAACAATTTGAACTTTGTATGCATGTAGTCTTAATTGTTTCTTAATGACCTTATACACCGTCGAAATTCTCTTGCCACTGATCTCACAGATCTTCTAGGATTGTCTAAAAATGTCTGTCTGACATGCTCAACGTCAAAATCACTTGTGCAGGGACATCACGTCCGGAATGTTTCGTATCTGCGATACTTCCAGTTTCTAGAAAATTCTTTTTCCACCGCAAGATGCTGCCCTTGGATGGAGGATCTTTTTGGTAAATTCATCTGCAATTTCTCTGTGCTTGCACAATCGATTTCGTTTCTATGAACCACCATAAAATCTGTGCTTTCTCTTGTGGTGTATGCATTCTCCTTAATATCCACTCGAATAAAACATCACATAGAAAAGTACTACATAGAGCAAACACATCAAAAGTAAACATAACATTGCAATAGTTGCCAAAAACAAAAGAGAGAAAAATGCAATTAATAAGCAGACGTTATTTAGAAAAGTATAGATATTCAGACTGGAAAATGAAATTATCTGAAATTAACCACACGCGTAGACGATATTTACAAAAGTAAAGATGTTCAAACCTGAAAAGGAAAATATATGAGTTATTCCATCAATAAATGCCATAAGTTTGTTTATATCTTCATTACTTTATGAGTTATTGAACATCAAAATTGGTCCGGGAATTTATAAACACCCTGTATATTAATTGTGATGAGACTATTATGTAGAACCTTTCTTTTATTGCACATATTTTTTGAACGAGGGAAAAAGTTACAAAAGAAACACATTTTAAGCACAGGGTAAAAATTTGGCGTGCTGGGCCACTATATATTTAACAGAGTTTTTTTTTTTAGATTCATTTTGAATATATTTTATTTGCAATTCTCAATGATTTTTTCGCGAATTTTTCGCATTATGTTACAAAATCTATAAGACTTAGAAACATGAAATTTCGAATGTGCGTAGAAAATATGCAAAGAGTTAGAAAGAAAACAACAAAATACAGTTTGATTATTAGTTTTATTTTTTTTTATGACCGCCCTTGAACAATCGACTCAATTTTGAGTTTACGGCTACCAATGTTTAACTCGTAGCCTTGTAATTTTGAACCCAATCCAGAAGACAAGGGAACTGCTTGACTAGTAACCAGAGGTATTTATTTGTTATGAGAACTTGGAGGACTTTGTGACCCCGTCAGATTTAACATGCACCAGTCACCATTTTATACATGGGTATTCTTATGCTGGCTGGATTCAAACTCCCATTCTCATGAACATGAGTCCAACGCCCTATCAACAAGGCTCTCCCGGCCAAATTCATTAGTTTATTTTATAACAGCCGACCCAATTTCGAGTTTACGACTACTAATATTCAACTCCGAAGCCTTGTAATTTTGAACCCAATACAGCAGTCCCTGGAGCAGGTGAGGGCCGTTATATTAATACTGTTTGTATAAATAAAAAGAACATTTCGTAAGCTGATATTATTTAATTGATGTTCATATTGAAAATATTTCTTCATTATTTTTGCTTTCTCTTTAATTATTTTAAGTACATTTGCTAAATTTTTGTGCGAGAAAAAAAATTGTCATTATTTATGTAAATGTTTGGCTTATATTTTTAAGGATTTATTAAAGGGTCTATTAAATATCAGAGAGAATAAATGTCATACGGGTTTAAAGTATCAGCTCTGCTCTTGATGGTGTATAGTGGCTAGGATGTGAAAGAGCAACAGTCCCGGGCATCCAGCCAAAACGAGCATTCAACATATCAATGGAACACACTAAAGCTTTATATCAATTAGCAATTAGTTTTAGATAATTACAATTGTAGAATAATTATCTTATTATAGAATGAAATGTTTTAAAAGACAAATATCTGTTAATGTTTAACATTTAATCAACGAAAAAACAGAACCAATATTGAAATCTAACGAATTTATTATTTTTAATTACTGATAAAGTTTGTGACAGAAAAAAAAATTAAAGCCTGATAGATTTCAGAATTTTAGAAACACCTTCTAGTTATACTATTCAATCAAATAGGTTTCGATGTCTTTCATCCCGGTCTCATTAGTGATTCAGCATATTTCGATATCATTTTTGTTTCGTTCTTACTTAATATTAATTTGTTTGCGACAGTTAATTTGTATACCTCTTTTACTA